AAGACCCACATCCGGCCGAAGGCCGGCTGCGACTTGTATATACATACACTCACACACCGAGAAAAAAGACAAGAGACAAAGGAAAGCAGAATTGGGGAAACGAAAGGAAATCGAAACTAGGAGGCTCCGCCGATCTGGGAAAAGTGACCGTGCTCCGACGAAATGAGGGACATAAGAGGTAGGAAGAGATGACAAAACATGATAGGCTAGGAAAGAAAGGCTCGTAGCAGTTATGGAGGATGGTTGTTCACACAGCGGCAGTGGTATTATTACCGCACTAGGAACAGGTCCTCGAACTCCCGAGGGGGGGGGCTGCTGGTAAGAGTAATCATTGCTCCCCAGTTGCTTGGTATTTTTTTCCCCCTGGTGTTTCACAACGCATTGGAGATCCTAGCACTTGTGTTCACGTGACAGGTAATTCTGAAAGATTTTTTTTTATTCAACTGAGCAATAACTGGTGTCCGACAACAACAATGCCAAGCCTTTGAAAAACTGCGCCTCAACCGATGGGTCTTGGCAGACACCTTACATACCGGTGGTCTCTGGCATAGGTGGGATAAAGTTTACGAGTAGTCTAGTGTAGGCGGAGCCATTCCGTGTTTTGACGGACGATTTTACCTACAGAAACCGCTGCCTCAGAATTTTTGTATCATAACGGAAGGGTAAACAATCACCAAAACTTTGTGAGGCAAAAGGAACCAGACGGTCGCACCCAAACAGGCCCTACGAGATTGGCTTCTTGTGGCCTACCGCGAACAAATGCATTCGACCGGAAAATGTCTCGACGGGAGAGCTACCACCATGTGACAGCCATTGTTTTTAGTTTACCTCTGAGTTTACCACACGGCTATATTAGCCAACTGCCAGAAATACAGGCTTATTATCTGTAAACTAAAGGTAATAAATATACTTGTACAGTACTTGGTGACAGTCTCCATCCAAATTTTCCAAACGACCCATGGAAAGATCTACTAACATAGACCCAGCACGAGGACCATACTTTGTGGAATTTAGGAAGTATCCCACTTCGTCCGATAAGTTATCACTGATGCTTAATACAATAATCGGGTTTTAATGATTCAATTTTTAACTCATGCCCTTAAGCTACGCTCAAACACCCAACCACTTTGTTCCGGGCCGCGACCAAGAAACCACCCCTACTGTGCAGTCCAAAGGCGGCTTCTGCCTCCTTCAGCTCCTGTCCCTCCTCTCGCTGATTGCTCTCCTTCTCCTACCCTCCTGTTCCTCAAACAATTTGTAGTTCTTGGAACCTCTGGGCCCACCTTGTTGCCCGACCGTGCTCCTCCTTTTCGTTGCCGCTGCCGTTTTACCGGATACCTGATGGCTGCTACCACTACCATCGCCAGCAGCAGTTCCGCGGCCGGCATTTCCATCAGAAGCCTCTATATCTTTGGCCAGCCTCGCAATGTCATTCCGTAGTTCGCCGATTTCGGTTTCCATTTTTCGAATGGACTCGCCGCCGGAGCAAAGGTTTCCCATTTCTCTCCAAGATGTTGTGAAGTGCTGGATGGTACATTAACTTGAATCAAGGAAGGAATGAAGGGAGTAGGGAGGATAAGGTTGTACCTTTTCTACTTCTTCTCTCAAGAGAGGTCTGGTGAGCGTTGTTGGTTGGTTGCTTGGGGTATATAAACGATCGGGTACACACCTGGCAGAAGATAATGAAGAGTCGGGGGAGGATAACTTGAAAGACTGGTGGATCAGAGGGGGGAGGGAGGAATTAGCGGCATATTTAAACAGCGGCAAGTGGTACAAATATCGTCCAGTCCATGCTCCGACATAACTGGCGGACTGGTCAGAAAACAGCCAATGATGCATGGCCAATCCAGCTAAGCCATGAGCCATGGTGAGGAATGGGTGCGGCGTGTGTGTGGATATTATATATCACCTTACCGTTCATTGCCTCACAGAAGAACAGATCCCAGAACGACAGGGATCAACCGGTCCTCCCTGCTCCCAACTCTGCCTTTGGCGCATGTAGGAGCACCTAACATTCCAGCGTGAGCGAGTCCCAAAAACCCAGTACGAGCACAGTACAGTACCATTCCGCATTAGTCCACCCCACTATGTCCGGTATTATCTCTAGCGCTTGCTTTAAAATCGTTGACACCTCTCATTTCAGACTGGGATGTTTGTTCCTAAGTGCGGTGCAAGAATGCATCCACACCCTGTGGTCGTTACCACCGACTTAGAATCAAACAAGGCGGGAGGTCCTGCCAAGACTGTCCAAACCGCCACTGCGCTTTCTTCGCGGAGAGTTATGAGGCATGTAGCGCAGTACAGCGCATTGAAATCCCGGTAAGTGCAACGCGGTTCAAAACACTAGTATGTATACCTGGCGGCTGAAGATATTGAAAAGATCCTGAAGGGAAACCCGACCAATGTTTGCGATAAAGCGGGTTCTATCGGCAAGACCGCACCCTCACAACCAGTGCCCCGTCGTGTCTTTATTCAGCAATTAGGTGTCTCCGGGTTAACCCATTGAGTGATTCGTAATATTACCGAGCGGAATGGCTGTCACGCTAAGGGCTCCATGGTTTGTGGGTAAAGGATTCTGGATAAGTGGGCTCGCCTTGGCCCAGACCATGGGAATCGGGATTAGGACAAGCATGAGGCTCCCAAGATTGTGGAGCCAAGAATTATCCATCTCAGGAAACGGCATGGGATCCCGACACCCCCACCTTTCCCTCTTCTCCCACTACCACGACTACTACTACTACTACTATCGCTACCCAACGTTGACATGCCCTTGCGGGGTCGATCGGTGCAAACTAAGCTGACCGTCAGGAAACAAAAGGGCGAGAAAAATGCCTGTTAACGTATTCCACACCATTGCGAGCGCCCGGCATAGCGAGCCTTCAGCAAGTCTGGGCAGCATGATTGGTTGAAGCCGGTTGAGATTGGAATAGTGGTATTTGGGTGGATGGCTCGCTATCAGGGGCGCTCGTTGGTGTGGAATACGTTACACCAGTCATTTAAGAACTATTAGTAAGGAAAGTTGACCCACAACGCACTAGATCACTGCCCCGGTGATCAGGATAGCTCGGTTCGCAATTACCGGTATCTTGCCCCCCCGCCCATGAAGTTCGCGGGCAACATTCTCAACTCAGACGGGAGGGCTCTACCAAAAGCCGATTTTTCCAAACAAGGACGAAAAAAGCAAATATCGCTTGGGGCAATTCTGGGAGCCGTTCCCATTGTTTCTTCCAGATCCCGTTACACTCCCTAAATGGTACTGTATTGTATTTTCATCGCGTATTTGGAGCCGGATAACGGTAGTGAGGATGCTAGTTCCCAATATACCATTCCAATAAATGCGTGAAAAATAGCTATTTACCTTTTTTCTGCCGACCCACCAAAAAAGAAAAAGGCGACTTCAATCCGGCAAGGAGTATATTACAATGTCGTGATATTGTGATTCCATTTTTGTAACGCCTCTACTAGCCCCGAAAGACCCTTTATGGTTACCCAATTCCGAATACACGATGAGAACATAGGTACTGTTCACGTCGCCATTAGAAATATTTCCTTGTCTGAATAATTGCTTTTTGCTCTAATCAGCAAACACGTCCAAAAGACATTTGCCAGGACCATGAAAAGGGGCTTTTTTTTTCCCCGAGGTATTTAACCAGGTGCAATTGCCGGTATCATGATATAGCGCCGGTCACGGATAGCCTGGGTATTTTTCGATGAAGGCAATCGCCAACTTCGGAGATCTACTACGCCACCGAGATATGATACTTTTTTGAAGAGCCGAGACATATGCTACCTGATGTGGCTGCTCTCAAACCCACAATAGCATAGCTTGCTGTGGAGCTGTAAGGGCTTGGAGTTGGAAATTTTGTCCAGGAGCATACTAAATGTTGAATATGATACCAAAAATTCCCTCCTTTTCCCAAAGACCGGCAAAACCCATTCTTCTTCTGTGGTATATCGTTGATAAGCCTCGAGACTGCAAAAAAAAAAAATATCATCCATGAACTCACGAATCCTTACCAAATTTGCCCTCTTGGTACGAGTATTCAGCAGTGAGTTTCCGGTTCACGGATTACCAGTGACCGGCACCATACTATGAGCGTTCAAAGCTAGCAATGGAAAATGGTGGATAGAGACAAAAAAATATATTCTTGGCACTTAATAAACTTTATGCGCAGATAGAGGAAGGTCAGAGCGAAAAGATTGAGAGTCCAGGGTCTGAGTTCCCTGCTAGAATAAAAATGAAAAAATGAAGAGAAAAAACGAGAAAGTACCCGAGCAGAGGTAAGACAGTGTGGGCGGTGACCACGCCTGATGCGTTGACCTGCTCTAGCAATGGCTATTGTTAGCGGAAGGTGAGTGGAAGGTGATGAGAAGTGATAAGCAACGATGAGCAGCAATGAGTAGGAGCCGGTCTTTTCTTGTCAAACTCACAAGGTCAACTGCTTTTTACTCGCGATGGAAGCCATACCTAATTTAAGGCTCCAAAGTTCAACTTCCACTCTTCAAGTTCAGTGGACCATGTCCTTCTACCCGAGTAAGGTTCCCTTCATCACTGAATACCATGGTGGCAGTATCATGCTCCCCCTAATTGGGCTATCAAACCCTAACCCAATGGCCCGTGCTGTGATGGGTCTTGACCACTCGTCATGGGATAACGGGGGTGAATACCCAAGCTGGTCATAAAAATTTAAGGGGGGATTACTGGCCACTGCCAACACTGGCATCATACATGCAATATTATGAGAAATATTGAAGGCATGTGAAGCCTGTGCACTAAACGCCGCCAGGGACTAAATTTACCTATAGCTGTCCAAAGTCGGGCGAGCGCAGATGAAATTTTTCGGATATAGTAATGGACATGCCCGAAATGCAGGACCAGGTAACCCCTCCGAAACACGGTAAGCACTCGGGCACATTGATTATTACTTGCCATTATCTAACCGGGACGGACAGTAATCACCTTCAGGGTATTATGTCATGTGGTCATGTCGGAAGCCACGGTAGAAGTTGCCCTTCAAGCCATATAGTACTATACGCAAGCGTGATGCGAGGTTCTCCCTCCCCTCCTATACCGGACCCACGAATCGAACCGCTATTTCTGCGATGGTAGGTGAAAGTGAATTTATATATACATGCCCGGGACAGGGGAAGCACAACGGGACGGAACAAAATAGCGAATAAAAGAGGTAGACCCAGCCACGGCGCTGGCTGGCGAAACGGCAAACCAAAACATGAGGACTGTTGCATCATCCTGCCTGTCCGGGCGCAAGTATCCATGAGACGAACGATACCTCAAGACCTGAAACAACGAGTGATCACTTGTGAAGGAGTAGCGACACGCCACATGCTGGAAACATGTTAGTCGCGAAAGCCTTCGGTGGAGCAGCGGTACCCGTGGAGCTGCTGTTGCTTTTTATTTACGTCTACGTTTACTGCCTGAGCCATTGCTTTCCGATTGGTAAGCTAAAGGTGGTGGTTGCACATTCTTGAAAGTTCACACCGGATTTGGATCCCTTGGCGCCGAGAACTCTACCATCAGACCGAAAATTGCAAAAAAGGCTCCATTTTCCCAGGTATTTGTGTTTTATGGCAGGAAAATTTGCCCCTATCCCGTCTCTCCAATGGAATATTGCGAAATCCGCCAGCGTAGACCCAGCGCACACAACCGAGTACGTGTCTTCCCCTCCCCCCCCCCCGACTAAAGCAGGACAAGTGGCAGCAGAGTCCGGGGGAAAATCGCCCTACTGGATAATCTGTCACTTCTCTGCGATAGGAAGAAACAGATTCTAACAAGTGAATTCGCAACTGCTTAGGCTACACTCAAACATTCTCTCCTACCCAAATATTCCATTCCGAGCAATTACCAAGAAACTATCCCCAATGCACAACCCGACAAAGGCCTCCACTCCCTTCATTCAACTCCGGCCCCTTCTGACACTATTTGCTCCCCTTCTCCTAGCCTCTAGTTCCTCCGCCGCACTGGAGTACTTGGAACCCCTGAGTCCACGACGCCCGACCGCCCCACTCCTCCTTGTTGCCGACGTTTGACCGTTCATCCCGCCACCACTACTCCCATCATGAGCAGTTCTTCCATCCTCTGCCTTGACCTCTGACGTCTCTCTATCCCCCGCCAGCCTTGCAACCTCATTCCGTAGTTGACCAATTTCAATTTCAATCTTTCGAATGGACTCGCAGCAGGAGCAGAGATTTCCCATTATTGTTTTTCCGGTGGTCGTGGGGTGCTAGGTACCGTGTTCAGAGTGAATTGCTAAATGGAGGGAAGGAGGTTTAGATTTACCTTTATCTTCTTGGTCTCCCGCGGGAGGGCTCTTGATTGTGGTTGGCTAGGGGGGTACAGGGTATAGGCAACGGGATGTTCCCTAGGAAGAGGGTAAGGAGGAGTGTATGGAGGGAGAATTTGAGGAACGAGGAGGGAGGAAGGGGAGGAAGGAAGAGAGCAGAAAATATATACTCACGGCTTCCGCCTCGTTTTGGAACTTTATTGCTCCGAGTTAAGAGTACTTATATACTGC